TGCCCTTCTAAGTCCATAGTCGGCGGTGGAGTGCCTGCAAAGAGAGTCAGCCTCACCCACAACTATGACAAACGCTGAAGAGTTGTTGTATTATTCGGTGAGAGGAAATTTGTTGTTGGAAGAAAAAATGCGTAACAAAGGAGAGAGAGAATAACTGAATTCTGACTGCCTTCAAAATCAGGTTGTTATTTATTGTCAACAAATCCCCTATTTAAAATATAAATTATTATAAATATGGGTGGAGAGTGGCCAACTAAATATGTGCCACTCCCTACAAAATTTCCGTCTAAAATTTTGCTTTCGAAGCCACCGTCCAATTGCTTCCATCACAAGAGCATTCCTCGGATACCACCGGTGCTTTTCCATCTCCGACGGATTTCAAACGCTGCCCGTAGGACAACAACTTCATCGGACTTGCATCTGCACTATGGTTCCATTGGTTCGGAGTGGCACAATCGCCGAGTTAAACTTCTCCTTTATCCTCGGATTTGACACATTGCCCTGATACGGGATGTAGCATTATGTATGGTATTGGTGCTTTAGAATTTGGATCCGCAAGAAACGAGCTTTAGTTTCAAAATCTAACTAAAGAAATATATAAATGTTTGATTTGTTATAATGGAGGGTTAGATTGAGAAGCAACCAATTAACCTTGATTCACTCTCTCGATTAAGTGGAAGCATTTGTTTAAGTGTTGGGGGTACTATCTTTAGTCCATGAGTGATCCATAACACCAAAACTTTCATCTAATTATCTTAATAATCATTTAAAACTCACCATTCTTCCTTCTGAGACGGTGGCATACTCGTTGTGGCTAGTTTCTTCGTGCGGAATCCTAATGTCGCATCGCTCAAATACTCAAAAGCCACGACGGTGATTTACTACCACGGCGAGGTGATTGGAGAGGGGGAGACGCCGGCGGATTGACGAAGGCAAAGGACACGATGGCGACGAATGTGACGGTGGAGATCGAGGCGGAGGAAATGGATGAGGGTCTGAGTTTGATGGAGGATTTGAAGTCGGGAGGTTTGAATATCAGTAGGCACACGAAAATGCCAGGAAGGGTCAAAATAGTTGGTTTCATCAAGAAAAGGTTTGAGGTAAAAATGAACTGCTCATCTACTTTCAATACTAAAACCCAAATGACTAAAAGGGAAGGTTGTGATAAGCATGTAAAAATTTATGATTAATGAAGAATTATGGGAGGAATTTAAAACCAAATGGCTATTAGGTTCGTAGTGTTGAAATTACGAGTAGTATTAAAATTTTTAATTATGGTACGTAGGTTGTTTATAAATTTTTTGGATTATATTACTTTTTACTTTGCTTATGTAACTATATTAGTACGTTGGATCGACAGTGAATTTGTTTGACCATGAGTGAGTGTGACTCCCAAACCTTTGTAACGACTCATGTCTAGGATTTGACATGGTCACGTTGCCTACTCTTTGTTTCTAAGAGTGAAAGCTATTCCCACGAACTAACTCGAGTTCTTCCTGCATGTTTTTTTCCTTGCTCACATGCGTCCTAGAAAAATTCTCCACAGGTTACGTGCATCATAGAATTGCTCCAAGCAAAACATACCTAACCGTGAAGTTCTTATAATTGTGCTGTCGAAAAGGAAAATGAACCTTATTGGAATATGGAGTGACTATCCATGTTCTAAAGTATTTCTTAGCTATCATCTGCTCACGATCCCTCTCGTTTGGAAGTGGTTTCGATTCATTCATGTACCCCTCATTTGCCCGGGTGTCACATACCTACCAACTTTCACATTAGTTCGTTTTCAAACCACATCTTACTGGGAGAGATACTGCTCTAATACAATTTGTATCGTCTCATGTCCAAGATTCAGAGCCATCAGGTATCGAATCTGGATTACAAATCTTGATCTATCCTAGACATGACGCGTTACAATTTTGGTCGACCCTAAAAGCTTGATCAAACAGTTTAGAATGATCCACTAATCCAAAACCAGTTCGGTGTAATGGGTCGTCCCTTCAAAAGTTTCCCTGAGTTTAACGACGTGACTTTTTAAACTTCACATTAACCCGCCATCAATTCAAAAGAAGAGAATTTGTTTGAAAAAAGAAGGCCAGATGGCCAATTTATTTTTATTAGTGGGGACATAAAATTATAGACTTTCATTTTTTCTCCTTCCACACAATCAAATTCAAAAGGTGACATTTTCCAAGCGAGGGCATCGAGGCTCATAATATAAGTTCTTACCAAACTACTCATCGAATAGCCAAACTACACGTCGAATTGTTTACGGTAAAAAAGACAAAGCAATCTTAATTTATTTATTATATGCTTTGGACCTTCTAAATATGCGACATCAAAATTCAACGTTTAGAATATTCTACTCTCTCCCCTAGAATATATATATGTATATATATATTAGCTAGTGTTAGTCTCGTTTAAATCTTTTTTTAACTATGCAATTGGAGACGGACAACCATAATCTAAATAAATAAATTAATAAATGCATAGTATTGTATGAAAAGTGTATAAATAAAATATTTTCAATAATTTGATAGGTTAACTATTTTATTTTTATTAATTTAGATTATTAAAATAATTTTATGCATTTGTGAATTATTAGGTGGAAAAATGTCTCCAACTCAAAAAAAATGTAGTGGGGGTATTATATAAGAACTTATCATAAACGTAGTTAGCTACTATTTTAACTTTTAATTTGAGACAGGAATAAGCTTCGAGTTTTACTTAAGAAAAAGGGGCCATAATGTTAAAATATTGGTTCTGTGGGCAAGATATGTATGAACGTTGCTAGCTTTGTTAGAAAAATTTGCTTATTACTCAACAAATTATCAAAGGTGGAAACACAATTTATTAACAAAGCAACTGAATTAAGAAAAATGGAAGGAGTTTGACGGTTACATGGATCTTTGATCTTTTGAACAAATTTCAACCTATTAATGAGATATATAAGCAACCTTTGGGCTATGCTTCTCTCACCCCGATTCATAAAAGAGAAGAAAAAATGGGAAGAACTTTTCAAGTTGTTCTTTTTCTAGCATTGTTTGTGTTTTTACCTCCTTCTGTTTATTCTTTACCGTTGTCAACAAACGGAAGGTGGATCGTTGATTCGACAACAGGGTGTCGAGTGAAGCTTGTGTGCGTGAATTGGCCTTTCCACACACAGAGCATGCTAATAGAAGGTCTCAACCACAGGCCATTAAAAGAGCTGGCAGATGAGGCAATCAAGTTGAGGTTTAATTGTGTACGACTCACGTATGCAACTCAAATGTTCACTCGTTATGCAAATAGGACAGTTGAGGAGAATTTTGACCTTCTCGATTTAGAGCAAGCAAAAGCCGGATTGGCTCAATATAATCCTTTTGTGTTGAACAAGACTATTGCTGAAGCCTATGAAGCTGTTGTTGATGTGCTTGGAGAGAGTGGTTTAATGGTGATTGCCGACAACCATATGAGTCAGCCAAGATGGTGTTGCTCCCTTGACGATGGCAATGGATTTTTTGGAGACCGCTATTTTGACCCTCAAGAATGGCTACAAGGTCTTAGCTTAGTTGCTCAACGCTTTTCCAAGAAACCAACGGTACGTAAAAATTAAGGAAAATTCTCACACTCTTGAAACTAAACTCAAACATTTAAAGACTTCTATAATTTTTCACTAACAAAAGAACATTCTTTTGTTATGACATTTAGGTGGTTGGAATGAGCCTACGAAACGAGATACGAGGAACCAATGAAAATGCAAATGATTGGAAAAATTATGTTACTCAAGGAGTAACAACAATCCACAACATTAACCCAAATGTTTTAGTGATTGTTTCGGGCCTAAATTTTGATAATGATCTTTGATGCTTAAAAGAGAAGCCCTTGAATGCAAGCGCCTTAGACAACAAGTTGGTTTTTGAGGTGCACTTGTATTCGTTCAGTGGAGATGCAGAGAGTAAATTTATAAACCAGCCACTAAATAATATTTGTGCAGATATTATCAATGGCTTTGTAGACCATGCTGAATTTGTTAGAGAAGGACCAAACCCATTTCCTTTGTTTGTCAGCGAATATGGGTACGATCAGAGAGAGGTTAACGATGCAGAAAATCGGTTCATGAGTTGCTTCACAGCTCATCTTGCACAAGAAGATTTAGATTGGGCATTATGGACTTGGCAAGGTAGCTATTATTATAGGGAAGGCCAGGCAGGCCCGGCAGAAACTTTTGGAGTTCTCGACTCCAATTGGACTCAAATTAAAAATCCAAACTTTGTCCAGAAGTTTCAACTATTGCAGACTATGTTGCAAGGTAAGTATAAATATATTAACGATTTTGAATATATGGATCTATAACAAGTGTAAAAGACATTTTTTTACGGCGCACAGATCCAAATTCCAATGCATCGTTCTCGTATGTTATATATCATCCACAAAGTGGCCAATGCATCCAAGTCTCAAATGACAACAAAGATATGTTCATGGGTAATTGCTCCAACTCAGGTCGATGGACTCATGACAATGATAGCACTCCAATTAGGATGTCAAGCACTGGTTTATGCTTAAAAACAAGCGGAGAAGGCCTTATGCCATCTCTCTCAACAGATTGCTTCGGCCCTCAGAGTTCTTGGAGAGCCATTTCAAACACTAAGCTTCATTTGGCCACCATAACTCAAGATGGGAAGAGCCTTTGCTTGCAGGTTGCAAACTCTAATTCTTCAAAAATTGTGACAAACTCTTGTATTTGCACTGATGGTGCTCCAACTTGCCTCGAAGACACCCAAAGTCAATGGTTTGAACTCGTTGAAACCAACACATTGTGAGTTGCTTATGTATTTGGAAGAATAAATATATGACATGCCCGACTTTGAATTGGCCCCTATTTTATCTCTAATTCTATTCATGCTCGTGCTTAATTATAACCGATTTTATTTATCGTACAAACATATACGAAAAATAATACGAACAATAATGATCGTATAAAAGATTGGACATATAATAAACAATAGAAAAAAATTATTGACCATTTAACTACGAATTTAAGCATAAAATCGACAACCCTAATATGACTCCGGCATTTTCAAAACTTGCGTGCCAACACTAAATTCAAATTCCAACAACTACTAGTATATTGGACCAAATTCTCAATTCCCATTTTAAACTAATTAATAAACCAAGCAACATTTGTTGGAACAAGTTTGAACCGTTGGGATTGAGGATCATCCATGCAACTTCCCTCGTCTTTAAAGCAAATGCATTTCTTCACAACAACTGAAGTACCAGATTCCTTCTCCAAGCAAAAATGGTCTTCGCCAATTGGAGATTTGCTTTCGAAGCCACCTTCCAATTGCTTCCATCACCAGAGCATTCGTCGGATACCACCGGTGCTTTTCCATCTCCGACGGATTTNGGTGCTTTTCCATCTCCAACGGATTTCAAACGCTGCCCATAGGACAACAACTTCATCGGACTTGCATCTGCACTATGGTTCCATTGGTTCGGAGTGGCACAATCGCCGAGTTAAACTTCTCCTTTATCTTCGGATTTGACACATTGCCCTGATACGGGATGTAGCATTATGTATGGTATTGGTGCTTTAGAATTTGGATCCGCAAGAAACGAGCTTTAGTTTCAAATTCTAACTAAAGAAATATATAAATGTTTGATTTGTTATAATGGAGGGTTAGATTGAGAAGCAACCAATTAACCTTGATTCACTCTCTCGATTAAGTGGAAGCATTTGTTTAAGTGTTGGGGGTACTATCTTTAGTCCATGAGTGATCCATAACACCAAAACTTTCATCTAATTATCTTAATAATCATTTAAAACTCACCATTCTTCCTTCTCAGACGGTGGCATACTCGTTGTGGCTAGTTTCTTCGTGCGGAATCCTAATGTCGCATCGCTCAAATACTCAAAAGCCACGACGGTGATTTACTACCACGGCGAGGTGATTGGAGAGGGGGAGACGCCGGCGGATTGACGAAGGCAAAGGACACGATGGCGACGAATGTGACGGTGGAGATCGAGGCGGAGGAAATGGATGAGGGTCTGAGTTTGATGGAGGATTTGAAGTCGGGAGGTTTGAATATCAGTAGGCACACGAAAATGCCAGGAAGGGTCAAAATAGTTGGTTTCATCAAGAAAAGGTTTGAGGTAAAAATGAACTGCTCATCTACTTTCAATACTAAAACCCAAATGACTAAAAGGGAAGGTTGTGATAAGCATGTAAAAATTTATGATTAATGAAGAATTATGGGAGGAATTTGAAACCAAATGGCTATTAGGTTCGTAGTGTTGAATTACGAGTAGTATTAAAATTTTTAATTATGGTACGTAGGTTGTTTATACATTTTTTGGATTATATTACTTTTTACTTTGCTTATGTAACTATATTAGTACGTTGGATCGACAGTGAATTTGTTTGACCATGAGTGAGTGTGACTCCCAAACCTTTGTAACGACTCATGTCTAGGATTTGACATGGTCACGTTGCCTACTCTTTGTTTCTAAGAGTGAAAGCTATTCCCACGAACTAACTCGAGTTCTTCCTGCATGTTTTTTTCCTTGCTCACATGCGTCCTAGAAAAATTCTCCACAGGTTACGTGCATCATAGAATTGCTCCAAGCAAAACATACCTAACCGTGAAGTTCTTATAATTGTGCTGTCGAAAAGGAAAATGAACCTTATTGGTATATGGAGTGACTATCCATGTTCTAAAGTATTTCTTAGCTATCATATCCTCACGATCCCTCTCGTTTGGAAGTGGTTTCGATTCATTCATGTACCCCTCATTTGCTCGGGTGTCACATACCTACCAACTTTCACATTAGTTCGTTTTCAAACCACATCTTACTGGGAGAGATACTGCTCTAATACAATTTGTATCGTCTCATGTCCAAGATTCAGAGCCATCAGGTATCGAATCTGGATTACAAATCTTGATCTATCCTAGACATGACGCGTTACAATTTTGGTCGACCCTAAAAGCTTGATCAAACAGTTTAGAATGATCCACTAATCCAAAACCAGTTCGGTGTAATGGGTCGTCCCTTCAAAAGTTTCCCTGAGTTTAACGACGTGACTTTTTAAACTTCACATTAACCCGCCATCAATTCAAAAGAAGAGAATTTGTTTGAAAAAAGAAGGCCAGATGGCCAATTTATTTTTATTAGTGGGGACATAAAATTATAGACTTTCATTTTTTCTCCTTCCACACAATCAAATTCAAAAGGTGACATTTTCCAAGCGAGGGCATCGAGGCTCATAATATAAGTTCTTACCAAACTACTCATCGAATAGCCAAACTACACGTCGAATTGTTTACGGTAAAAAAGACAAAGCAATCTGATTTTATTTATTATATGCTTTGGACCTTCTAAATATGCGACATCAAAATTCAATGTTTAGAATATTCTACTCTCTCCCCTAGAATATATATATATATATATATATTAGTTTGTGCTAGTGTCGTTTAAATCTTTTTTTAACTATGCAATTGGAGACGGACATAGCTCTAATTTGAGTGAACTAAAAAAAGACGTTGAAATCATTATTCCCAACCTTACACTGTGGACAAAATACTGAGAATTGTTAATAATTGAACGTAGGTTTGTTATCATCAAAACATCAATTAATTAGTTGGACATTAAGGGCCAAAAAGCCAACACGGAGAAAGATTGCAACTCAGCATTTGAGTGTCTCGCTTTTGGGTTGTGACTATAGTGTGCTATATTGGGTCGAGAACGTGCATGGGACGGACGCTGCGATGTTGGCTAAAGACATGCACATGGACTGAATTGATCGCGTATCTTGATTAGCTGTTCTGATGAGTTTTTGTCGGGAACACTGATGTTCAACTGTGAACTCCTGGTTCTAACCTAGATTCGTATCCGACCTAATGCACATGGACTGGATTGATCGCGTATCTTGATTAACTGTTCTGATGAGTTTTTGTCGAGAACACTGATGTTCGGCTGTGAACTCCTGGTTCTAACCTAGATTCATATCCGACCTAATTTTTTGCATTTTTAATCTCTCTACATTTTTTTATTCATTCATTTCCACTGCTTCTCCTTTCACTCTATGGTTTCTCTCTGGCAATGGTTTCGCACCACTTGTTCTGCTGTGCTTCCTCTCGTGGGGTTAGGATGATGAGATCCCGTGGGGTCAGGACGATGAGATCCCTACATACAACAGTGACTTTGAGAACAAAATTTCAAATATGAAAAATAGAGGCTTACTGATGTGAGAACTTGACTTGGAGTCGAACAGGGAACATTAATTGTTGCAATTAGGGGACATGGCGTGGGGGTTGGATCGAGAATGTGAAATTTGTTGAGGTTGAAAAAATTTTGGCAGCTCGCCAAAATCCTGTTGAGGACTATTGGGAGTGAGTCTCACATTGGTTAATTTAGTTGAAGATCATGGGTTTATAAGTGAGGAATACTATCTCCATTGGTACGAGGCCTTTTGAGGAAGCCCAAATCAAAGCCATGAGAGCTTATGCTCAAAGTGAACAATATCATATCATTGTAGAGAGTCATGATTACTAACAAATCCATGTGATTACACATCTAAAAGAACCTTTATGTTTTAGGTTCATGAAATTAAGTCCCTCCCTATTGTAAAAAGGACATCAAGGAAAATAATTCTTTTCTTTGTTGGGATGATTATTCTCTATCGAAAAACGAGATGTGAAATACAACTATACAACTTACTGTCCATGGGCACTTTTCATTATATGACCACTCGTATGCAATTTGAATTTTCAAGAGCTTACCATAAAATTTTTCCCCCAAACATGGAGCCCATTGATTTCATTACAAATCTTTTGAATTGGGCCTTTGTTCTTAGCATAGGGGTTTCTTTGGTTTTGGAGTCTTAAAACCTTGGTTCTTTGTTCTTAGCATTCTTTATGCCTTTTCATTGTTTGGGTTTGATAAGCATACTAAATACATGTTCTTAAGGTGGCCTCCTGATTACTTAAAAGTCAAAGTCTCATCTCGAGCTCATTCTTATTTAGGGAAGCATCTAGATTACTTAAAAATCAAAAGCTAGCCTTCGAATTGATTAAAAGTAATGCTAACTTTGAGCTCCTCCTGGATTAGGGTCGTCGCTTAAAAACAAAGGACTATCTTAAAGGTTTACATGAGATAATATCCTTATTGCTTAACAATCAAGTGCTAATCTTTGAG